TTTAAAAATGCAAAGAAACTGTCAATTAAAAGGAAATGAAGTATAACTCTAAATTATTTCACACTGCAATAAAATCATTAAAACAAATAATGATTGAGAGAATTGATACTCCCTGTTTTTGCCGTCAAGTTTGTCAATTTATGACAGATTATGTTGCAATTAATCCAGTGGGGCGACAACTGCTGCAAAAATTTATAGTCACCCTTAAACTATGAGAATTCAAATTGAATTTTTAGAAGTATGCTGCAACTTTCATTGTGGCGAAATGACAAATCTAAAATTCGGAACTTCAAATCTATCAACTAATATTTTCGTCAAAAAATAATCTAAAAAAGACGCTACTGCGTTTTGAAATTTGAAATCTGAAATTTCAAATCTATAGCAGCTAATATTTTTCGACAACTTAATAAACCAAATTATTCTAGTTCAAGTTTTCCGACTCTCAATTTTTATGGCCCTGTATTTATGCTGCGAATATATTATATATATTTTCAGAAATGTGGGTAGATTAGCGATTTACCATGTCGACAATCAAAGATTTCAAAGAAGTCGGTTTTATTTTCGAAGATAAATTTTCAAATTTTCTTATACAATTTTGATTTTTTAATCTCCACTCTCTGCCTCAAGTAGTTTCGAAGATTAAGTCTCTAAATAAAGTCCAACAGATCGACACTCGGACAGACGAAAGGCCAACGACAGACAGACAGTTATTACAATACTTTCCTAATGTAAGTCCGACGAATGAAAATATAGTTTTTAAAACCAAGGAGAGTCATTATTGTATACAAATGCACCATAGATGAGTATTGAAATTTTACCGTCACATTCTCTGAGCAAAAATAATCCAAAAGTTTCAATACGTCCTACTTTACTTAACAAAAAAGTTATAGATCAAAAAATTCTTACACGTTTAACATCTTAAGAGCCGAAGAACTTTCTTCAAGAAGATCTACTTAATTACTTAGAATAAATTTTAGTACTGTCGTTTCAATGGTTTAATTGTGATAAACGACCCTCAAAGGGTTAAATCAAGTTTTTTTTAAAGAACTTCCCTTTTTGGGTCATTTTTGCTTAGATATAAAATGTTGCTAAACTTTCAGTACTCAATGATTATTACCATAATTTAAAAAGAAGTAGCAGGGTTTCCGTGTCTTATTTTAGACTAAAAGATTTATTCCTATGATTTACTTTCATTCATAACTTTATTACATAAAATCAATTTCATAAAATTTACGACACTGAGCCTGAATTTCATTCTGACTTTAAACCACAGTAACGATTATTATTCATTAAATATTCAAATTTTCAACCACCTGCCGGTAAACCTGAAACGCTCGCCACACTTTTCGAACTTTGAAACCGTAATTTAGTGAAATTACTCACTGAAAAATTTCTGGACCCATCTCGTTGCCTGACCTGTTTTTAATTGCGGCATCCCATTCAAAAATCGCTTTCTTGCATTCCGCAATCCAGTTGTTCGATGAATTATTTATCATCGAATTCGCGGCATTCCGTACAACCTGACCTACATACGTTACAAAATTACAACAAATCAGTTTTTCCGCGTAAAAAGCCCATGACGCCTCTCAATCAGCCGTAAACAACATCTTAACTGCCCTTTCAAACGTCCGATTTTTGTGCACACTGACCTAGGAACCCCGTTCTCCACTTAGACTATCCTTTTACTATTTTCAGTGAGTATCTTGCACTCTCTGATTTTAATTGTTCGAAAATTACACAAGTTCGATTCAGTTATTTGCCATTTTCGATTATGTAACGGTCATGGTACCATAAATTCATTGTTTGAAGAGTCGGCGTGCTAAAAAGTGGTCGGGGTCAGAAAAATGGCAAATGGAAGAAGATGCAGGTCGATGGCCCGTTTTATCATGAAGTTATCGAGTTGTGGAGAATTTATTTGCTTTGGGGAGTGCTATTATGTTATACTTAGTAATTGTAGTAGAAAATCCTGCAATTATTACTTGCATAACTACAATAAACGCGTTATAGAATCAAAATCAGTGGTAATCTCATCGACACCTGAAAGAGCGCAGTTATATTGAGCTAATTAATGACTGCATACGATGACAGAGGAATAATAATGAATTAGTCATAGTCATATTTATAAATGAACACATAAGCAAATTGGCAAATTATATAAAATGTGTTAACAAAATAATAACAGGTGTTGAAATTTTTGTAAAAAGCGTTAAGAAATGTTTGTTACATGATTGTGTAGGAAGTGTCAAATGTGGAGGGGCGGGGCTTATGTTTCAATTATGATTAAAGCTCCGCCCTGTGCGCCCTCAGCATTGACGGCGCTTTTTAATTGTAACTATATACAAAACAAACAAAAATTTCGTATCTAACGGGCATTGTTTTCGTAATTTACGACTATAATTGAAAGGTGACTCGCAAGATAAACGCACTATTCAATTTTATTTCTTTTATATTAGCATATAAACATAAAATTTTAATGGCCTTACACGTAATTAAAAGTTGTTAATGTAATAACTTGTGATGGTCGATTAATGGCAAATTTATTTAAAAGTGATTATAGTTGCCATGAATACGTGCTACTTTCAGAAGTTAAAACATGCAAATTAGTAATAATGTTTGAAAATGAAATTACTAAAAACGATGCAAAACAGGTGAAAACTTTAATACTGTTATATAATTTGGCTGTAAATAGAGTTGACAAGATCTCGAGATGAATGGAGATTGGTAGCAAAAAACTAACTTTTTGTATTGATATAACGACATTCCTTCAATATAAATATCAAATTTACGTCAGGTTATGATCATACATTTGTGAACTGTCACCGCAAAGACGTTTTTATAACCTCCATAATTACGACAAAAATCCAAAATTTACGTTTAAGGAAATATAAGAACCTTTAATACACTTTTACTTTCAAATATACGTATCAAGGAATGTGTCTGTTAATAAATTAAAACCTCGATAGCGTGTTTTTAAATTTAAATTTCTTAACAAAGAAATTTGAAATTATTTTATTAAGGGCGTTGCTAATCCGGGAAAAAAACTTTTCCATAAATATAAATATTAAACTTTTTAATTATTTTGCATAATTAAACTGTCTTTATATACGATTTTTTGTAATAATAATGATAAATTGGTGGTAATCTGCCTAAAATACAACATTATTATTATACACGAAATAATTTTGTTCTTACTTCTTTTAAAACTATTGAACACATTTGATAAGTAAAATAATGTGAATCACTTTACCTATCATTCATTTTTACGCAGCTTTAGTTAGCACCATTTTTATTCATGTTGTCTTGTAATAGCCTTAAATTTCATACAAATATCAAAAATGCAGCGCAATAAGAGATATGAAGTTTTGTTAAATGCTATACGTCACAAAAAATCAGCATCGGTTTCGTTCCTTTGCAATGCAGGCGACTTTATAGTACGTACGTGGAGAATTATAATGATTTCTTAATTTTTTCATAAAACTGGTTTATTCAGTTTTCCTTTTTTGAGATAGATGATGCTAAAAATTTATTTAGTCAAAATAGAAACAGTTGCTATTGCTAATAAATTAGTCCATACACTGTAAATTATTTTTTTCTAGAAGTATATATATAATTAAATCGGTTTTTTCAGGTAGGTGTTAAGTTTGATTTTTTCTAATTTTGTAATCATCGGAAAAAATTCTATGTAGTACGAGAGAAACTGTCGAGTTTCGTGTAAAGTGCACATAATACTCATTTTTATTCCACGCGAAGTGGGTAAATGGCATGACAAAAATTATCGTATTAAATTAAATCGTAAAAATTAATTTCTTCGGTTAGATTGATATATAGGTTTTCATTTTAAACGGAAGAAACTAAATCCTTCCTACTTTGTACAAAAAGACTGTAGTGATCAATCCTAGTTTCACCAATAACAAGCTCAAAGAAAAACTGTCTTAAAAACAAGGAAAAATATTAATGACTGAGTGAAAACTAGCCACAATAACTGACAAAAACCGCCCTTAATTGCTACCATTGATGATCAGTAATTTATTAAATTATAATATGAAATAGTATTAATAAGGACGGAAGAAAGAACAATAAAACCGTATAGAACTGAGAAACGAGAAAACTCAAAAAAGCATTTGCACGTACTTACATAGGTATGTGTATATTTTATTAGAGGTCGTAGATAATTATATAAACTAGTAATTTCTCTAGAACACATCGATTAAAACGCAATAATATCTGCAGTGATTACATAGTCTTGAAGAAAAAATTGTTTTTCAGAAAAAGAAACATTTTAACTAGACATTTCCGATTAGCATAGAAAGTCCCCTAAAATCGATTTAACAATAACTTGTACCTACGTCTGTAAAAAAAACCGAAAGTTGTATTCCTTTAAGTGAAACCGGAATGAACATTTCCTCACCATCCAGTTCTTCTAGCAATTAAAAAAAGCAAAGAAACGATTTCTGGTGAAGGATAATAATCCCACCCACACACACATTCTTGAAAAGAGCAAATATCTTAAACCTGATGACTGTTATTGCCTAGTTTGTAACGCGATAAGATCCTCAAATATAAACTAGTCGAATTTCGAGGCCAAAGTTCTTGCTAATTCGTTCATAAATGCCAAAAGTTTGACTTTAACAAGCTCAGCAATATTTATTTCAAAGTGCTAATCTAACAAGTGATTTCCCAATCGAACTGTTGAATAATTTTAAACTTGACACGTTTGGAAAAGGTGTACCGTTAAATAAATGCTGGAATCTATAAGCAGAAAAATTCTCACACATTCCAAAGAGAACTTCTTTGAAATTTATTAACATTCAAGAGGCAAGGTGATGGTGACAATGAAAACTAATAAAAATCGCAGTCTATTTGCACAAGACGAGGCTAAAACGCAGCCTTCGTTAGAATATTATTGAAAATTCGGCACGTTTTTGACCAGTGGAACCAGTTGCACTAATGTAATTTATCAATAGGCGATTACGAAACTTAGAAAAAGTTAAAAAACTTACCTTCGGCGGTCCAACAGTCAGGGCAGTCTTGGCACAACGAAGCCCAGTCCATTTGCAAGTCCCGAAAACTAGCCATTTTCACACTTTTCCACTGACCATTTTTCCAAACTAATTCGGCGAGAAAATTCCAACGGGTTAAAGAACCGAAACTAACACACACATGTCTTGTCTGAAGAAGCGGACTTTTGGTGCGCAGTCTCGTTTCTTGCAGTGGTCACAAGCGAGTACCTGTTTTTACAATCTCCACACACACACACCTGTGAAAAAAGGTGGTACCGTAGCGGGTACCCCAGGTCACGGGCGCGCGATTTTCTCAAATTTTGTGTTTTAAAAAAAAGGGTGCAACCGTGACCTCTAATTGTGGCAATTTCGTGACTTTCCCCTTCATCGCCGATGCTCCAAATTTCTTTTATCTTTGATAATATCTAGATTTGACAGGTGGGCTAGTTTTACTTTCAGTTTGCACACTCCCACCTGCCCTCAAGCCAGTTTGAACATTTTCAAACAATGGAACTAATCAAAACATTCGCACGCTTCGGAGTCACGCCTGGAAGAACAAAAATGGGAATTTTTTAGTAAAAGGGTTTTGCACGTCGATATAAGAATGGAATGATTTATATTTCCGGCCGATTTCATTCACTAAAACGAGAGGATAGCCCCGGGGGCGGAAATGCCAACGTAAAGGCAGACGGAATTCGAACGTGCCGCCATTTTTTCGCGCTTGATGTTTGAACAGAACTGTCATCGTTTTTGGAGGTTTCGAAAAAAGGAGCTTAGAAAAAAGACGACGTGTTAATTAACGTTTGTTACATATTCTAGTATTAAATAACTTGTTAATAGCATGTAACGTGATATCCGACAGCGCCGGTGATTATTGGAACTTTAATAAGCCAGTGTTGCCAAGTGGAGCGAGTGCATTTTGATAATTATTTTAATGCATTATAATCTGTAATATATTAAGTTTTTACTGATATTTCTAAGCTTTCTCTGAACCTCTGTTCCGCAGGAGTATGATTCCGTAAAATTTTGGACACTAATTAATAATGTAAATAGCTTGACTAATTTGAATTAATGAAATTTACTTAGTAGAGGTAAAATAATAAGAGAATAAGACTAGACGAGTTCACTCTCAAAAATAGGAGACTGATCTTTACAACGGAACAGAGTATATAGAAAACTAAAAAGTAAGAGTAAAGTGAAACATCTTTCGAAATCAGGCAGTCAAAATAATCTCAAAAACGTTTTAATAACCTAATTTACTTTCTATTTTAATACATCTGTTGTTATTTTGGGAATTAGCTAGTTTGAATTAGTCAAGCAGTTAAAATACATGTTTCAAAACTAATCTATCACGTAACTGCTGCTAATATCATTGTCGTCTTATCAAACAAATAATTAAACCTTGAAAATATTTGTTCGGTTGGATTTCAAGTAACTGATAATTTTAAAATGTTAAAAGCAACACAGTAACGACTATATAACCTTGCGAATTATACTTATTTCCAAATAGAAAATCTTATTTAAATAGGAAACAAACAATAACAGAAATATGTAAGACTGTTAAATAAATGGGAGTAATACTTTATTGGAGTCCGTTTAAAGATGTGGTAAAATAAAAAAAATAGTCGAAGGTTATTTCTAAAGCACTTCCCTCGAACCCGAAGTACAGTCCAACAAATCCCCCTTCTTTGAAAAATTAAAAAACTTGATTTTGCTCAATTCCATTTGTGAAAATCTCGATATATTAAAAAGATGTAGCTTACACTTGAAAAGTAAAAACATGTTTCTTTGTATTTTTTTAGACCTCATCTTTCTGAATTCATTCATGTATCGTACTTTAATCATCCATACTCCGCCACTGCATTTGATTCGAATGTATTATATTACGAAGACACACTCTGCTCACTTGTTTAATGTATTTGGTTTGGCGCGGAGTGCGAACATATCGCGTGAACAGTCGAACATTTCAGCAAAGACACTATGTCAATTGCGACACGTGCAGGAGGCGTGCAAAACTAATAATAAAAAATATACCAGTCAGAGTGTAAAACAAATGTGACCCATTGACATTCGAACCACCGACTTTTGCGTTAGTAACTCAACATTTTTACGGCACTACCACACAGTCCACCATACGTCAGTGCTCTTATACTTTCTTAACAACGTACCATCGACTTTTCCGTCGTTTTTGGAACACCCTGCATAAAATTTGAGTCCAGTAGTTTCGGGGATTATCTGTCAAATAAAAATCGACACAGACACACGACAGACAAACGATAGACGACAGACAACAATTTTTTTCACGCACTAGGGGTCATGAAACGCCGAGAAAACATGAAAGTAGCTATTCGTTGGATGGACCTTTTTATAATACTCCCTTAGTTTACACTTGGGGGTCAAAAATTGATACATATTTGTTTTATAATATTTGTTTCAAAAATAACTTCCAAAAATGAATACGGATACGCCACTGCTCAGGCTCTCCCTGTCAACACTGCAACGCAGCGTTTGATGACTCAGCACGCTGTTCTCGAATTATTTCACCTCTACCTACTTTAACATTATGAATGAAAAGACGGGTCAAGAAATTGTTTGAGTGGTATAAAAAAACTGTACGTAGTTACCATTTCTTGGAATCATATTTTGACGATGAAATTGATTTGTTAATTTAATCATGCAAAAAAGAGGACAGATCTGATAAACAGTTCTCGTATACGATAATTACTTCGTAAAACGTAAGCTAAGGAACTATTGTAATCATCCATCCGGCGAATAGCTACTTTCATGTTTTCTCGACGTTTTATGACTCTTATTAGAGTACGAAAAAATAGCTCTTCCGTCGTTTCCGCCTGTCTGTCTAGGTCGGCTTTTATTAGATAGATAATTTTCGAAACTGTCGGACCGACACGAATTTTATACAGTGGCGGTCAAAATAAGGCACCTTTTGAAAGGATTTTTTCAAGAAATTTAGTTGTGTAAACTGGACTATATTTAACAGGTATTCATTAACAACGACAATACAGATTTGAAAGTTACATTAGGGAAAGAAAAGTGTTTCACTTTAGTTTGACCATCACTGTGCGTATTTTAGGAGTATCGTATAGACGAGAAAAACACTAACCAAAATTTATCTAATCCTCTCCACCAACAATCTACTGATATCACCTCAAAATATTGCACAGTAAATATTATTTAAATTTTAGAAAATAACATACTCCTACACTGATGGTTTATGAATCCGTCTTGCATTTTTCTTGTAGTTATCCAGATTTTCTCAAAAAAATCCAAATTTAATAACAACTTTTTATCCTTTATATAAGCAAACCGCGTAGGTTTTCGATTACCTTCATGTGCATTTTTTTTCTTACACTGTGACTGGTATTATTTAGATTTTTTTAACTTGTAGGAGTTATTATAAAAAATCCTAAAATCAAATTTTATAATTTTTCGAAGAAACGGGTCTTGTTGGACTGTACTTCAAGAGCAAGAGAAGTTCTGTTTTTAGATAACCTTAGACCAATTTTTTTTCATTCACTCAGGATGCACTTTGTGAACAAATTAAAATTTCTTGTCAAAATTATAATTTAGATGCTTCTATTGTTGGTTAACGGTGGTTTTGAATATACATATTTGATTTTTTAAAAGACTAAAAACTGAATGGTCGAATGAATCGTATATAAATATTTGGAATAAATTATGTACAAAAAAAAAAGAAAACAAAACAGAGAAACATAGAAAAATGACGAAATCCTATCGGACAACAGTACGTAAAACTTGATGTCATTTTGGTAATTTACAAAATTTTGTGTTATTTTACCATTTAAAAAAGGATTGATAACATTGCTCGTGTTTAGAAAAATATTTGAAGAAAATTTCCTCATTTTAGATTCGTTTTTTTAAATGTAGTTTCTTTTTTTAATTTTGATTTCTTCTGTACAGCATTTATTTTACGTTAACGATTTAACTTTGTTGTCTGAGAAGTGTTTGTATAAATAGTTTGGAAAATGTAAATGTGGCCAAAGTTTTGAACGATATCGTATTGATGAAGGTGACAGCTTAAAAATGTATGCTTTTTGTTTTTCATTATCTTATTTAATATCTGACAACATTTTTTATATTTGTTGCAATGATGTGAAAGTCGTTTGTTTCTATGCATCTATTGTTTGTCTTTTAAAAACCAACATCAGTTACTTCATGTTGATGGATTATGAATATCTTTAATGATTGACGGTTTAATTCTTACCAGTTGACACAACCGCATCAAGAACAAGATCACATTGCACATTCAATGATGAGAAAACAATTAAGTTTGCTCCTTTCTTGGATAGGACTACGACGCGAGAACTTTCATTATATTTGTCAATTTTCTGCATTTCTTCAAAATTGAATTTATATTATAAGTATAACTTGCCACTGTAATGCTTTTTGAGGTAAACTGTGACAATGATGGATCACAATCCTACGTTAAAAGTCGCTTTAAACATTATTTCATTCAGCTATTCTGTTACGTTTCGTTCGTCAAAGGTAAACTGTTTTTAACATCGGCTCAGTATTAAAAAATATATAATAATAATTTTAATATGCTCTTTGCATAGTTTACCCGGTTTACCCCATGTAGGTAAATCAAATCTAAATACCTTTCACCTTCAAATTTGAAAGCTGAGAATTTAACAATGGCTGGGGTCTGGGAAAGATAGTTAAATACATAAAAATTTACCATTTCAAATTTGTACGTATGCTCTTTTCTTATTCAAGTAAATTTGTTTCAATTTTCGTAACAAGTGAAAAATTTAAAAATGACTTAAAGACTCGACTCCTGCGCCCTCTATGAGAGAAGAAGCACTAAAATCATCCACTGTGGCAACGTCGCTTTATCGCAACGTCAATAAACGACTGGACATAACCTTAAACAATAAGTGTGTGTGACCGTGTTTATTTTGTGAAGAATGTCTTTAGCTGACGAATTATTGGCGGATTTAGAGGAAAACGATCAAGATGACTTGGATGACGGCCTGGACCCTGAAGAAGAACCCGAAATCAAGGAAGAAAAACCAGATATTAAAGATCTTCTAGTTCAAGACACAACCCAAATTAATTCTGTGAGGGAACTCTGTAAACTAAGAGACTCTAGGAAATTGCGATCCATATTAGACCAAATCGAACAATACGTGAAAAAGGGACGCAAAAACTTTGACATTATTGGTCGTGTTGAGCTCGATCCAGAATACCAACTCATCGTCGAGGCAAATAACATAGCTGCGGATATTGATGCAGAAATTGGTATGTACGTCACAATAACCACTAATTGTACCAACGTAACATTATTCTAGGTACCGTTCACAAATTTGTACGCGACAAATATCAAAAACGCTTCCCTGAGTTAGATTCCTTGGTGGTGAGTCCCCTCGAGTATGTCAGAACAGTGAAAGAGTTAGGGAATGACTTAGATCAAGCAAAAAATAACGAAATTCTGCAACAATTCTTAACCCAAGCCACTATTATGGTGGTGTCAGTTACAGCGTCAACAACACAAGGGTAAGGTAAGCATTGCACTCATTCCAAATTCTCTTGATATTATTTTTCAGGACTCTACTCACAGATTTTGAGAAACAACAAATTGACGAAGCTTGCGATATGGCGGTAGATCTCAATAACTATAAATTAAAAATTTATGAATATGTAGAGAGCCGAATGGCTTTCATTGCTCCTAATTTATCAGCAATATTAGGAGCTTCAATTGCAGCAAAAATCATGGGCATTGCTGGAGGTTTGACGCGATTGTCAAACATCCCGGCGTGTAATGTGCAACTTCTGGGACAACAAAAGAAAACTTCTTCGGGGTTTTCACAAGTGAATATGTTACCTCATACTGGTTTCGTTTATTATTCAGAAATTGTGCAAAACACGCCCCCTGACTATAGAAGAAAAGCTGCGAGATTGGTGGCTACGAAATGTACTTTAGCGGCACGGGTTGACTCAAGACATGAAAGTAAAGATGGAAGTATTGGTAGGATGCTAAGAGACGAGATTGAGAGGAAATTGGACAAAATGATGGAACCGCCCCCTGTGAAGTTCGTAAAGCCACTTCCAAAACCCATTGACCAGTCAAAGAAAAAAAGGGGTGGGAAACGGGTGAGGAAGATGAAGGAGAGGTATGCTATGACAGAGTTACGGAAACAGGCGAATAGGATGAACTTCGCTGATGTAAGTATGGGGTGTGGTTTGTGTTTTGATTGGGTAATTCATCAGTGGCATTTTTATTGGTTGTAGATTGAAGACGACGCCTACCAAGAAGACTTGGGGTATAGTAGAGGCACTATAGGCAAGGCGGGCACAGGTCGTGTCAGGCTACCACAAGTGGACGAAAAAACCAAAGTCAGAATATCAAAAACTTTACAAAAAAATCTACAAAAACAAAATGTTTGGGGCGGTAGCACAACTGTCAAAAAGCAAATATCAGGAACTGCCTCAAGTGTGGCTTTCACGCCCTTACAGGGTCTTGAAATAGTGAATCCACAAGCGGCAGAAGTGAAAGTGAATGATTCTAGTGCTAAATATTTTTCAAACACGTCTGGGTTTTTCAGAGTTGATAAAAATTAATGTAACAAAATCTTTATTTAAAAATGAAATAAAAATTAATCGCCTTTGGATTTCTTAACTTCATCTTCTTTCAAGTGTAAGAACACAAACGAAAACAGGAAAAGTCCACCCATCATGGAGAACGCTCCTGCATAATATGGGTATGCACAGTTAATGAACCTTTCATACTGTGTATGTTGTAGAGGTCTCACTGAGACTTGTGTGGTGTTGTAAATTCTAGTGTATCCGACTCTATCATAGTCGACTTTGAATTGATACACTCCATACACATCAGGTATTTTGAATCTAGCTTCATACTGTTTTCCTTTCTTTTGTAAGTTAGTACGGACGAAAGGATCAATTCTGACAAACTCAAGTTGTATGTCGTCGGCACTGAAGGGTTTCCATTCGCCATCTTCAAATATGTCGATTTCTATTTTATAGATTACGTCTTCCATTATAGTGTACGCAGATGGGGGTTTCTCTTCACCAACTCGACTATGTTTGACGGATCGGACTCTTAATTGGCCATGCTCTTTGAAAACCCATTGACTAATGGCGAATGCCACATCTCTGTTACCAGAAACATCAGATTTGACACCACCCTAGACAACATAAAATTAATTGCAAAAATTAACGAACGTGATATAATTACTTGAGCTTTTTCTACTGGAGCTGTGAAGAATTCATCTGAGAAGAAGGAAAGCGAGCCGCTGAAAACGACTCGTGCGTTATTACGTGCTTGCAGTCCTGCTATTAGAACAGTGTCGCGCCCAACGGCATGGGGGTACTGCAATATATAATGTCAATTTAAATTAATATGTAACAACTGCTATTACTTCTTTAATGGCTTGCTCAGGAATATAACTGTAGGCGGTACTTTCCGCGGACAATAATGGCAAAACTAGAGGATTTTCAGGGTCGGCTAAAATACCAGTTCCTTGGTAAAGCAAAGGTTTTACATCTTTCCTCGATCCCACTATAACAGGGGCATCAATTAAGTTATCTGGAGTGATTACGAGTTTGGTATGTTGGCCCTCGTCGTTTACGTCATAGTTCAAATGGTCAATCACAAAAGCCCCTTCTTCATCAACCTACAATTTAATCTAGTATTTTTTTACTATGTGGATGAATTTTAACCTCAAATCCACACTCTGAAGCAAGCTCGCGTAAAACATCCCCCGTGCCACTATTCCCAGCCACCAGCACGTTGCCCCCGTCATCAACAAACTGAGTGATCGTATCAACGTTGAGGGTGCCCCCAAATTCTTCAACGGCAGGTGCAAAAATTATTAAGTTTTCATACAAGTATTCTCCGTATTTGGATAAAACTAGAGACGAATCGTCGGCGATTTTAAAGCTCAGGTTGTAGCCTCTTTCTAAAATGGAGATTTGCCGGTGACATAACCTCAATTCTATCAAAACTGTTACCTTGCAAAGATTTGAAGAAAATTGAATGGGTTTCGCGAATCACTTGATTATCGAGGAGGACTAGGGTGTTCCCTTGGGATCTCACGAGGGAGAAAAGGGTAAAAATTAAGAAAAGAAATAATTTCATTTTGAACATGTACACGTCACACCCCGAAACCCGAAACGTCACCTTTCTGAAGGACATGGACGCCACTTACGATCAACTCACGAACTATTTTATATCGATTTTTTTATATAGAAAATATAAAATTTACATTTTATTATCTTTGAACGGTGAAAAATAAACTGAGGAGATGTGATAAGATAAAACATTATGTAATGGGGTTACGATATTTTATTTTATGAGTTCGCGGAAACTTTGAATTGGCGACATGACGCGCACTATGGAATAATCTACGACAAACTATTGATATTGACGAAATAATCTAGGTTCGGCTAAAAAATTATAAATAGTTATCTTTTTACCTGTTATTACAGTAGTTTCTCACAGATTTTTTTATAAACGTTTAAAAATTGAATTACAGTTCTAGTACCAACCACCACAACGCAAAGTCCCTAGTAACAATTTCACTTTTTAAAAGCTGAAGACGTCTTTAGAATAATCGTGTTTGTTTTGTGTTTTGTGTAAAAGCAACGTTTTAATTTATGTTAAGTGCTACGTCGATGTCCACTTTGCCGCTGTAACCGTTATCAGGAACCCTCTCCAAGAACTGTTGGTACTCCTCAGGTATGTTAGATTCTTTAGCTCCGGCCTTAATAATATTCAAGTATACAGCAGACGGCTGCCTATCTTCGGCCAAGTCCTCAATTTTTTCAGTAACAGACGGAATTACGCATTGTTGGTAAACACGGCATTTTTTGCTGCTACCATCGGGCAAAATCACATCGACATCTAACGGAAAGTAGATTTTATCAGGGACGCCTTCTTGTCTGTGAGAAACGAAAAGTAGAAGAAGCAAGGTTTGCAATGTTTGTTTAACCTGTCTAAAGTTTCCATGTGTTGTAAATCAATCTCCCAGATAGCCCCCCAAACATGTCGTTTTTCGTTTTTGGCTATGGTTGCGGATGCCCCACGCCAACGTTTAGAGTACTTTAGAAAGTCAAGTTGATAGTTCTGCAAGGGTTACAGTAGAATAACACATATACACAAGTTTGTTTTTGTTACCATTAATTTGCCGATTCCGACTCTCACTGCGCTGGGGTTATTTATATGAATTCTTTTAGCTAATAGGTTGCTCCCGTACGCAAAATAGAGAAAAGTGCTCCCCATTGCCAAGCAGCGTTATTTTTTATCCAAAGATATACTCAGCTTAGAAGAGAGGTTAGACTCTATTGCGCCTGCTAAAACTGTTACTATGCTTTTGTCACAATTAACAAACTAGAAGTACAACAGTATTTGTTATCACTGAATTACTATTATTTGTTTTAGAAATCTGTTCAGTGACGTCACTAGTCTGCAAACATTAACTTCAAACATATTAATTTTAAAAACGTTTATTTTCCCATTTTATGAAACATAATCAGTATTAATCAGTCCCTGCCAAACTGGTGGGTTTCTACAGGTCTGTCAACTCTATATATTTCTTCACCAGTGTTGAAATATCCCAGGTATTCCACTGTGTCCGGGGTCACATCAATATGGTAGTGGCCAGCCTCACCGTGGTGGCTGAAACTATGAAAATGTTGAACTCTCAAATCCAAACCCTGAAAAAAATCATTAAGTTTACAGTTGTTTCTGTAGGCGATTGTGTTTTTTACATGGTCGTTATTAATGAGAGTGCCTACAGTAACCAAAGGGGCACTCATGTTGTAGAATTTCAGCCAATTATTCAGTTTCTCGTCAGTGTTAATAGGAGTTTTGGAAAAGTCTCGCATGACGTGCTGTTTCGCTTTACCTTCTTTAAGCAAAAATACACCTCCAAGCCCTAGAATTAAAATCCTTTTATTAAAAAAAAAAAAAACAAATGGATAGTAGAGCCCATACCTACAACTTTATCTGTATATTCGCTGACCAAAGTCTCTCTGATGGCTTGTATAAAATCTTTTTCCCCAGTGCGTTTTTTAGCGTGAACTTTCAAAACCTAAACGCGGTAATGTTTTATTAGTAAAAAAACTTGGTTAAATAAAATTACTTTTCCAGGCTCTCCCTGGCTGAAGAACAGGTTGGCTAATAGCGCAATCCTTGTTTCGCTATTTGGCAGAACTTCCTGTATTGGCACTTCTTCATTCTTGGGGTCAACTTTAGAAATTCTTGTTTGTTGGTCAACTACCCCTTTGGCAATATTCAAGTTTAAAATTCCCTAAACAAAACACCAAGTTTGGGTTTCACCTGATATAAATCACTTACTTCACAATTAACTCCTGCATAAGGATGGGGTCCAGCACCAGCGCCTATTATAAAAGCGGGATCTGCTCCAATCAGAGGAGCGATTTTCTTCAAATCATAAACTTTATCTTTTTGAACAAGAGGAAGTAAATAGGGAACTCCCCCAACTTCAACTAATTTTGTTTTACCACCAAGACCTAAAAAGTAACGCTAGTGATGGTTTTGTTGAAGTTTTGCGAACTCACCTTTCTTAGCAAGGGTAAATGGTTGCTGCGTCAAGTCTGGACAGTCAACCACTTCCACTGTTACCTCCTCGAAGTTGTTTTTAAGCCCTTTGTTTAAAACTGTGGAAATTTAAATTAGTGGTGCTTTTAGGGATTTTGGTCACCAACCTTTAGCAAGTTCTTCGAGGGGTGGGGTGTCTAGGGGTTTTTTTTCAATGTTTAATGTATCGTAATTTACAGACATGGTGCTGCTGCAATGAATTCAGTGTTTAGTAAAGGTCAGAAGCCCAATTTACCAACTTAACCTAGAATTTACAATTATTATACCAATTATTAAAAAAAATGTACTACAATAATGAGACATTTCTCAGGTAACGACATAAAAAAATTATGTTGGTGTCGGAACCGAAAAGCGTGCAGCTTACCTAAACTCTTGTAAAAAATTAATTAACATGTGTTAAGTAGAGGTCAGATATCAGTTATCGCTTTTACTATCACAAGTTCTAAATTCGTAACGCAGATTAAAATATTACATGCTTCATGAGAGAACGTGATTTGATTCACTTAAGGTCACCAGATAACGGGTTTTGTTTTTTTGCCTTTTCACTCCTGCATTGAAGCCCGCGACTCCAAATTCAAATTTCCCGCGGTTCGGTTTTATGTTGGCATCCCGTCACGTCAACAAATCTCCGGAACCCGATTGGTCGATGCTCTCGCTCCTTAAAAATGTTAAGAAGAGGTTTATGTCGTTCCTCTTCATAATTTCTAACACATTTTTCACGAATTTACAAAAAACCAAAAATTGGTGATCTTGCCTTGACGTATATGTTCTAGTGTTTAAATAAACGAAAGATTCATTTTCAAGGTAAGTATTTCCTGTACTTACGGGTGTAAACAAACACCGGGTGCGTCCTTGGCGATCAATAACTTCTGTTGAGTTTCGTGTTAAGTTTGATTTTTTCAGGAAAATGTCGCGCTATGGATCTGATTGTAAAGTTTATGTGGGAGATTTGGGCAATAGTGCCTCCAAGCAAGAATTGGAGGATGCTTTTAGGTATTATGGACCTCTGAGGAATGTATGGGTTGCTCGAAATCCACCAGGATTCGCATTTGTGGAGTTTGAGGATGCGAGGGACGCCGAGGATGCAATAAGGGGGCTAGGTATGCAAAAAGAAAAGAAATTACGAAAAAGCTACGTGGTCATTGAATTATGAATGACCACGGAGGGGGGTGTAACCCTACTCTGATTATTTTTTGCTAGGTTATTATGCGTTAATTGGTCAAAGTTCATGAATATTAAGCTTTTTTATCTTTTGTTCTATATGCAAGGTAGACTTGTAATTTGATTTTACCACAATTTAAATTTTGCTGGCACAGGCATTTTTGTTGTGTTTGCTAAAGTAAGAATATTTAAGCAAAATGGTTGGAATTATTAAATAGTAATTTGCATCTTCATTTGTATTGTTGATTTTATATTCTTTAAAATCAGCATTTAAAGTATGTACGTAAGTTTAAATTAAATATATGCATTGTGTGCGTATTCAATGATGATAAAGCGTTTGTTGAATACTGTTATACCTTAGAACTGGAACTTAGATAACATTTGATAGATGAAAAATGTTTTTTTCTCTTTTAGTTTTTCTAATTTTTTCCCAAAAATTAATTTGCATTGTCATAAAATAATACGTGCTGAAATTATATCTTAAAGTGTTTATGATTACAGTAATTAAGTTAGTATTGTTTAAAGCGATATAGCATGTTTACTTAAATTGTGTAATGTCGGATTTCAGTTTAGAAAATATATAAAAAGTGTGCTAGAATTTGATCTGTAAATCCCATAAAAGACGCTAAGGTAAATATTTAAAAATATTTTAATTGCGCTTTAGTTTAATATATTTCTTTTGTATTTTGCTCATTAACAGTATGATCTTACAGAAAATGTTAATTTATTTTGTAACATTTATTTTTTAAACTTGCATAATCGGTTCGAGTCCAGGAAAAATAGGTGTAAATTCATGAAAAAATATCCAAATAGCTATCGTAAAACTTAACATTCTCTACAAAAAAGGTTCAATTAAGGTCGATGATAGAAACTGTGTGCCACAAAAGAAAACTAAATATGTTTTAAATAACTGATGTAGACTCTACAGATAGCACGCTTTTCAGTTTTGTTTTGCACTAATTTTGAACATATTGCGCGCAAAATGTGCAAATAATTTACGCATTTTCGGAAGTTTTATTTTAAACCTACTTTAATTTTTTTGGATTTTTGATAAAATGTGGTTAAATATTATAAATTGGTTTAGTTCAGTTTAATTTCGTGGAGGATTGAATTGATAAGTCTACAGGATCCTACAGTATTATTTGTTTTACCCTGCATACATAAAAGAAGCATATTTTTTAACTTTTGCTTAAAAATAAATTCAGCTTTCCTCGAATAAGCGAGTACTTTTATATTTAAATAAAGTAATGCGGTGAAAATCTTTGGAAAAGATCTGGTTTGCTGATTATTTTAATCCAACTTTTCTTTTGATCTTTTTACTGTATATATAAGTGATTTCGAGGAACACGCCGCATAAATGTTTCTTTTGTTTTATGTATTTTTTAAAAAGCCGAAACAATTTCAAACGTTTGTGATGAAATTTAAACTTCCTCGCAAAGGTGATAAAAGAATATTATTTATATTTAAATTGTGACTACATTTGTCACCGTGATCCTCTATCTACCACGCAGTTGTCATGAGATTCCAGAATAATAAAATTTGCAAACACTGTTGCTTGTACTAGCAACGTTGTTTTTATATCTACTAAAATTTTATGCCCTGTGAAGTTAAAAATGACAATAACTGTAAACAGACCCTAAATTACATCGTACGAATGGTACATTTAATGGTAATTTTACAAAAAAAAATAAAAAAATACCAGAGCTGTATGCGTATGTGTATTAAAAAAGAAACAAAGTGTGATGTCTTGCTGTTTTGTAAATAATTTTTCCATTTAATTTTTGTGGGTGACAATTGTCTCCCCTATATTTTTACCAAAGGTTAACCAGCCGGGTCCTTTTAGAATCTTCACTTCACTAACCCTTTTATTGTACCGTCCAACCTCTCATCATCACGTTATAAAATTTTGGTGCATATAATTATTACGTTTTAAGTGTACAAAAATGTTGCGCCAGCATAGTTGTGTTGTTCAGAAACACTACTTGTCAGTTGATACAAAAATAGTGAGAATATGCGGAGTGTATATTTGGCGTACTGTAAAAAAGGAAAGTTTTTGGAATGGGCCTTTGTTCGTACTGTTTCATAATGGTCGTTGGCAACAAAACAAGTTCATTTAATTTGTTTTGAAAAGTTGTTTTTAGCATAGGAGTGACACGTAGGGTTTATCTGAAACATTCCGACTTGCAGTTTTGGTTCACTGAAGATGTTTTATGAATATGATATAATAGCTAGTGTTGAAATTGCAGCAAAGATCGGGTGGGTCTGGCCATAGAAAATTAAAAATTAATTTAGCCACTTGACTCTTCAATCGTTCTATTTATTACTATTAATGAATTGAAATTTGTACAGCCTTCATTGGCCATTTTTGCAATCGTACGAGTAATAATTTGGGTTCAAACTAACTAAATTAGACTGGAACGTTCAGTGCCATTTCCTCAAAATATTAAGATGCATCGATGAAATAAAATAAAATATATTAGAGAGTAAACAGATCCATTTGTTGATATTATTGTGAATAAATAAAAATAGTTATTTTTGATTTTGATAAACATTCGAGAATACAAATGAATTTCGCAATCGAGTATCAAACAACCTTTTTTCGAAAACTGCACAGTTCCACATTAGCGGAAACTCAAAAAAGAATTACGAGAATCCAATAAAATCAAAGCAAAGAAATCAAGTCAAGTAAATTTTTGAGTCAAGACGATCCATAGCGACGTAGCAAACAATAAAAATCAGTTGTTTCAAAAACTCGTTTTGGAGCTGCAATTTTATAGTGTTTTATTAAAAAATGAGTTCTGAACGAGGTTCTGAAAGTAAAAATGAGTTACCACAAGAAGTTTTCGAAGCGGCACAAAGTGGGGTGTCGCCCACTAAAAATTCAACGAAAATGTCAACATTTGAAGACAGCTTTCAAAAAAGATTGTTTTGTTGATTTTCTGTAAAATTATGTAAAACTACAATTTTTGAATTATATTTAACTTAAATTGCAAGGGATCGAAAAGGGTTTCATAGTATTTTTCAATAACTTGTAAATGTGGTCTTATTATTTGTTACATGGTATTGGGACAAGGTGTGCAAGTAAAACTAGGTTTTCTGTCACCGGCGTTCGAAATGTGGCTGAATGTTATCATTTTTCAGATCTAAGGTACAAAAACCGTGTTGCATTATCAAAATCTGCTTTGATTAAAAAGGTTTTAGTTTTTCTAAAGTATGAAACATTTCGAAAATTTCAAGAATTAAAATTTTGAATTTATGTAGTAACATGTCCTTTTTTTTGTAGATGGGCGCACTATATGCGGTAGGCGCGCTCGGGTGGAAATGTCCAACGGGAAGAGCGGCAGCGGCCGTTACAGAGGGCCGCCGCCGAGATCGCGAGGCCGACCTTTTCACCCCGACGACCGCTGTTACGAATGCGGGGACAGAGGGCACTACGCTCGCGACTGCCATAGATACAGACGTGGCGGACGGCACAGGTGCGTGTGATCATGGTCGAGAGATTCATTCATTAGTGACTTAAGTCAGTTAAATAATTTGTTTTCTTTTTATTTTAATTTTTGATTTTTGACTTGCTGTACAACTGGACCGAGTTTTCTTTTTGGTTTTTGTTTTCAATAGTGAGGAGGGTCCAGTTGTGCAGTGAAGGGCGTATAAAAAGCGAGCCGCCTGGCGGTGTACTGTGTGAGGTGATTGGCTGACAGTGATGCCATGTTTATAGGTATAGTCTGTGGCCGATAGTAAGGTAAAGCGTTGAGTTCATTCTCGTCTCGTTGTATGCCTCTCCCGCTGACTACTGCGTAGAGCTGCCACGTAGTACATCGCTCACTCTGTCTGCACACGACTGCATTATACATACGAGACTGCTAGTGAGCCAGTGAGTTACCAGCTCTTTCGGGTGTAGCCCTACCTAGTTGATTTACTCTACCTCTACCTACAATGTTAACTTCACGTCTCACGAGCTCACAGACAATGGTAAAAACTTACATCTAAATATCTCTCTTTAACATTTGACTCGATTCTATCTACCTACACAATTAACAAGTTTTGACAAAACGACAGTGCCAGTCGCTATATTATTGGAGCTGCAGAACAAGTCAATTCTCGATTCGCAGCGCCAATAATACTTGAAATTAGTCCTCTACTTTTTGATTGTGCCGCGCTTTTATTAACTGCAGTCGTGACACTCGAAATTCAACAGGCCATTATAAAAATTTCACACACTTTTTCGTTTCAGGTTAGTATTTCACCTTTTTATTACCCAAATTGTACTCGAGGAACGATTCAGAACAATAACCAGTTTCGTACTTACTCGTAGCGACCTAGTCTCCGAATCGATTCATTTAAACAAAACCCTTTTTCTTGCACTTACGTTTTGTTTAAATGAAATTATAAACCCACTGTCGTTTTTCACGTTACTCTCCTTCTGTGTTGACAGGTCACGCAGTCGCTCTAGAAGCCGTTCGCGTGATCGCAGGAGTCGTTCCCGAAGCAACTCAAGATCTAGAAGTAGATCGCGTAATCGTTCTAGATCGCGATCCGGATCTGGGAAAAGAAGCAGGAGCAGATCACGCAGCGGCGATAAAAATTCTAGATCTAGATCACGCAGTCGTTCCGCACCTAAAGAGAATGGGAACGCCACAGAGAAAGATTAGGACCAATGTTGTTTCGTTTCATTTGATCGTGTTTTTTAGGTGCGTGTTTGAGTTCATTTTTGTATTCAATTGATTGCCATTCATTTTGCAGTAATGAGATGCACTTGTATTACTAGAAGTGTTTAGTGTATAAAGAAATATAATCACACTTGATTGAAAAAAAGTTAAATGTTTTATTTGCACGGCACCAGAAAAACGGAACTCCGAGAATGTTGCGAACCGATTCGACATAGACGTGCATATACGTGTCGTGACTTTCACGTTTTTCAGCGACTCAAATTGCAAATAACTGAAGCGACAAAAAACCCACATTTCATTAAACTAGAAATCTTTTATTTACACACAACACAAATAAAACTTACAACTATTTAACAATTAAAGTAAAAAAGTGAAATTAGCTATTCTCTGACGGCACCACATCACCCTTGGATCTCTTCTGCCTCACGCGACTCAGCCTCGTGGAGCTTCTAGGAGGACTTTCCAGATCCCTGGTGAGACCGCGATTCTGCAACTGCGGCACCTTTTGATTAATAATCTCGGGGTTGAGTGGGGGCAGCTCGCCCTTGAAAGGTGCGAATTGGGGTCGTGCTTTAATCAATTCCGCCGCTTTCGAAGCCCGCTGGTCTAAAATGCTAGATCGATCGGCAATTTTTGCCGTGAGACTAGCACCGGACACCCTTTTTCCGTCGTAAGTCACCACGACGTCCGGTGGGGACGCTAAATCTATTTTCTCCGGTCCTTCGATGTCGATATTTGAGGGTTGGCGCGACTGACTTATCTGCGGAGGTGTGCCTAATGGAGGCAAGTAATAGGATTCTACTCTTTCGGCTGCAGCGGCCACCGGCTCGTCGCTATCTTCCTCCGGAATACTTCGAGAGTGTTTGATTATAACCTTCTTGATGTAGGGTCGTTTGTGTTTGAGTTTGTCAATGGGGGATGGGACGAACACGGGTTCGAAAGACTGAGGGGGTAGCGGCGGCCTTTCGTGATCGATAACACCGATCTCGCTTTCGTATTCCAGGTCGGGTTCGTCGATACGTTTTTGGATTTCTTTGGTGATGATGGGTTTAAAGCCGCTTTCGATGATGACGGATTCGGGACGAAAGCCGGTGTTCTGTGCGGGTTTTAGTGAAAAGGGGGGTTTGAATGGTTTCACCACTTCCACCGCTGACGAAGAAACCATTTGCATGTCGGGCTCTTTCTCGGTGGAGGCTTGTTGCGGGGAGATTTCTACGTTTTTCGCTGTAATTGTTGGTGGAGTTGTTACGATTTTGAGTGGTTTTGGTGGTGGTGGTGGTGCCATCGCAATTATGAAGGTCTGCGGTCGTCTCAATTTTGTGTGAGATTCCGAAAGGTGCAGTGGTTCCATCAGAGGTCTTTTATGAAATACTTTCATTGGTGGTCGATAGATGTGTTTCTTGTAAGGTGGAGGACGCAAGACCATCGGTTGGTAAGGCCAACGTTTCGGAACAGAAGGCCTGCGCATTATAAAGTTAGTCTGATGCATAAAAGGAGGAACAAAGAAACTTTGGTTGGTTGGCTTAATGTTGGAAGACGCGCCAATTACTGTGTCGGTAAGCGTTTCGGTAGAAGTTATAGCGGCAGCGGTAGTGGAAGTAGTAGTAGTAGTAGCAGCAGCAGTAGTAGTGGAAAGTGGAAGAGTAGATTCTTTTGGTGCTTCTGGAGAAATGTCAGGTCTGAAAATCTCTCTAACCGATTCTAAAGGAGGGCTGGGCTTGAAAGACTGTTGGTATGGGGTGTAGAAGGGATTATCGTAAGTAAATGGGTTATACGTGGTAAATACTGGTATATGGGCCATGTAGATGGACGTAGGAAGTACTTCTGGAGTTTGGATAAGGAATGGTTCGTGTGTTACGGGCATGACGTCGGAAGTTTGGATAAAAATAGGTTTATGTGTTACGGGAGAGACGACCCTCTTTTCTGAAACTGTTGTATTATTCTTATCTTCTTTGTCTTCGACAATTAAAGCATTTGGTTTTACCCTTGTTTCAATCCGAATCGACGGACTTTCTTCAAGATCCGGCGCAGGCACAACCGAAGCTTCAGGTTCGCTAGCGGCCGTTTGTTCGTCACATGAATCGTGGACGTTTATTTTCCAACCCAAATAACGATGAGTGAAGCACTAAAACATAATCATCAGTTCAAGTTCTTGTGCTAAATACCAGTTACCTGATAGTAGACGGTGTCGGGAGTATTCCTATCCGGCGTCCACTGAATAACACCCGGCTCTCCTTGATCACATTTCAGCTCTAACGTTCTTTGATAAGCGCCAAACGACTCAAAATCATCAGCTTCTAAATCTCCTTGTTGGGTCCAGTGGCAAAGACGTCCAGTACCCGTAGGCTTAACAGTGCCGTCTTTAGCAACAAGAGCTCCAGCGAAAATCCTGACGTTCTTTTTTTCCTCGGCAGTCTTGTATTCGTAGCCGCCCACAGAATCGTCAGTGATGTAGAACGGATGGTACTTCGCGGCAATTTCAGGATCGAAACCGCCCTCTACCACGAAAGTGTACGTTTTGCCTCTGACCACGTTAATTTCAGGTATCAAGAGTCCGTTAATGTACCAAGAAATGCCCCAACCGACGTGACCAGTGATGGCGGAATACCCTCTCTTACCACCAGTCGGACCCATCTGGGCGTAGAAAACGCCGTCTTCGGGTTCATAACATTTAATCGATGGTATATCCCAAGCGTTTCGTTTTGCGACAGGCGCCGGTGTGGGCACTGCCCTCACATTGTTATTTCCTCTTTTGGTATTACCCCTTCGTTCCGTTTGCCTGGTTCTTGACGCACTTCTTTCGTTATCAACTGCTGGGGCTTCCTTCCGATTACCACCACGTCTTCTTTCGGTGTTTCTGGACCGCGAAGGTGCCGCAGTAGTGGTTGCAGGAGGCGCTTGTGTTCTCATCGATGGTTGTTCTGCTTCGGGCATGGGGCAGTTCCATTTGGCCGGGCGGCCGAAATCCAGGAACAGGTCACTTTTGGTGTAGTGGGTGTGGAAAGACACCTCGTTTCTTTCATTGAGTGGTCCGATGGCCCAGATGACGGCTTGCGAACGATTGGTGTGAATTTGCCTGTCAAATTCATCGGAGGGCTTCAGTGGGCGTTGGTAGGTCACTATTGAGTAGCCGTTGACCATGGCGCTGTTCAGTGGTCGGACGTCATTGGAGTTTTCTCTAAATCGGTTGTCGGGGCACGCTCCGGTACGACCCGTACATTGCGATTTGGACTCTAGGTAATAATCCTCGGCGGAGCCTTTTAGGGTGTCTCTGTCCACCCAAGCCACCGCAACGTCACCACCTATCATTTCGTTGCGGGAGTCGTCGCCCGAAAGTCCGAAAGACATGTACTCTCTGTCTTCTGGAATATAAATAGATTTTCATTAGAAACAAGAGGATGGTTCAGGGGTCTGCGCGAGGACCTCAGTTGTGCATAATTAATTCTAGTGGTTAAGTAAGCATATCGGATGAGAGGCTGTACGGTTAGGTAAAAGAACAAATTGGTTAATTTGGCTTCGGGTGGTTAATATTTTATGCACTTTAACCCGTTTGATAGGCAAACGATTTTAAATTGAAAAAAGCGGTCGCATAAAAGTGAAATGGACTTTCTCTCTCGTCGGATCGGTCGTTAAACTTGCGAGTGGGTAGTCAGGGACATTGTTATATTTCAAAGAGGTGAAGAAAGCGATTTTTACGAAACGTCGTCGTCGGATGTCCTTGGTCGTTACGTAAGTTAGGTTCGTGCCTCCATAAATCATAAAATTTTTCGAAAAGAATGATAGTATAATAACAGAGCTATGAAAAAGTCATAAAACGGAAGAATAAAAAAAGTAATAAACGTGGCAAGGGATAATATTTGTACGTGATGTCACTGTCTTTTCGAAGTTATGAATTCAGTAGTTGCAATTAAGTTGTTTTCCTCGTTTTGTCTACAGCAAATTAGGAAAAAATCTCGTTGATCGATCGCGTGGCGATGGAAAAATGATTGGGTAATTTTAACGCGATTAATTCGATTGGACGTTTTGTTGAAGACCGATTCCAATCGAAAAAAGCTGCAGGAAGTTTGAACTTGGATTGAATTACCGGCTGATTAATAGCCGAATGTAATTTCTTGTTTACAAATTTTATTAATTGGTTTTGAAAATGTCGACCATTAACAAACAGGAAAAGCGGGCGCCCAATTAAGGCCAATTGTAAAAACTCTACAGAAAAAAACGAATGTTTTTTTAATTACCAGATTGCACAATTTTTGTTGTGTCGGGTCAATACACCAACGAGGGGAATTACGCAATACCCTCTTTGTATTTTTCATAATCGCGTATTGTCGGTGATAGATCGCACGAAAATGCAAATTTCCTTGCACTTTCCTGCGGTTAACGGAGGGAAGTTTTTTCGTTCCGTGAACTTTAACTCTTATGACTTGGGTAATTGACATCGAGTGTGAAGCGGTTGGTCAGGGACGGTGAACGGATCGATCGGTATAACTCTCATAAATAAACTAATTTGTAAAACTATTGTTAGTTCTAACCCAATTAACTTTTGATGCGTGCGTTTGTCTGATATGGGAGGTAGGTCGTGTACAAATTAGCATGATCTGACGGCCATAATCGGCACAATCACGGCTGCTTTATTGTTCCATTATTTACCAAATGGATGAGGCAAAAGTTCACGGTCGGGTTGCTGACAAATCCTGACCGTCGCACAGAAATGTTAAATTTGCGCTTTCCTCCAATTAGATAAAAGTATCACTCAGAACCCGTTCTTTCTGTACTTTCTCCAGAACATGTGTATTTTTTTGAATTCTTCGCGTAGCACGTTTCCGCAATGTCTGTTTCCGGCAAATTGCATTAAAATGTCCCAAAATTCCAGCTTCCGCCTGTGTTAGATTACATTTTCATAATTTAATCAGCACGTTTCGTGCATACGCATTTTATCACTTCGCGTGTCCCTATTACGCCACCCCGACTCCTACATTTATTACATTGAAAATGTCCCCGGTTCGCGCCATTTTCATTTACATCTGTCACGAGAAATTTGTCCGCGATTTGTTAGAAATAAATTGTGCAACCTTATCTGCAAGGCTATGCCATTTTTCCGTCCGATGTTAAAACAATAAAGTGAGGGAGCGTCGTCACGTAGGTGGAATTTTGGTGGAGGAGCCGGTTTACAAAGAGGTCAATGTCGCAACGGCATGAGAAGACTTCTTCTGCACCCACAAGACTTACCCAATTTTGCAACTAGTTGCAACACAATGCTGTCTCCTGCGACCGCCCATCGCACCTCAAATGCCAGGTCATCGTACAGAACTTCGCAGTTGAGTTTCGACTGAAACAGACGAATCGCGTGAATGCGGGGAGGATTCGAAATGACGTGTGTCTTTGTACAAAAAGCCTTTATTTAAAAAAGTATAAATTATAAATAAGTATAAAAAAATACAAGTATAAAAATATATTACAGCAGAGACTGGCCTCGGCGAATTTCATGCACGCTCATTAGTTTCAATTAAAATTTAATCTCGTAAACCCCCTAATATAATAATTTCGATTATTGAATCATCTACGACCGCGACCTAATTTTCAAAAATCAATCATCCACCAATGCACGAAATCCGAGTAAAGCTTCGAAAGTTATAGAACTCTGTGGCTTTTTTTAAACTAAATTACACGTTTGTTTTTTTATTTTTTGGAAAAGTCACACCTGAAACTACGTAAATGTCAAAAGTTGCGACCTCGGGCTATTCGGAGGGACACATTTTTGTCCAACCTTGTACGAAAAAGGCCATCACGAATCTGTTCGATTGTGCGAAATGATAATTTTATTCTAACCTTAATCTATTTTCAAGGTGAAACGTTAAAGTGCATTCAGGTGAGACCGTTTGAGTATTTATAGCATAGCCTCGAGCTTGCGTTCGTTCCTCAATCAATTTCAAATATCACGCGAAAACCGGTATTAAGTGAAACAAGCCTAGGATAATACTGCCCATCACTGAAGTGTCACATAAATATTAGAAATAAATAGTTAGATAAAGCTTGAACTGTACAGGCCGCAACTCACGACGCAGGAGGGAGAAACACCGCGGTTAGGCTCTTCAAACATGCAGAGGTTCAGTGGCGAATCTAAATCTCATCTCGAGAAACAATCCGTAATTATATACGATTACTTCGTACCCGGCAGTTTGCATCCGTAGTAGTTAGTACACTCAATCCGGCATGAGACCGTGCATTTTGGGTAGTTATCATGTTTTTTTTATTTTTGCAGTTTTCGGGATTATCTTGAAAATCAGGGTGCAATTTTTTTTTTCATTTAACTCCGTAACCGTGAGTCTGAGGAAAAAGTTGTGAGAAAAATTTTTATTAATAGCTTTTTGGCTCAACGTTAATAATAAAAAAGTTATGAGCGAAAACATTGAAAAACTAGGGGACGAAAACTTAGGGACCAGGGAACTACAAAAAGTAGACGGATTTATTATTAGATTGCACAGTTATGTTGTAAACTGGTTTGGGAGAGTTAAACGATAGTTAAGAAAAAACTAATGCATTAATACAATAATAAAAATTCAGTTGGGTAAAACGGGGACGAGGGGAATGAAAATGGGACAAGAAGAAAGACAAAATAACTGCACTCTATTAAACCCAACACAAACTATCTATCCAAAATGCACGGTTGCCTATTTTTGCACGCCGAATTGACTGGCCTCTAGAGAAATTCGTCGAAGAGAGCGAGCTCACTGGGTTTTGTACGGATCACTGGGAACGAATTCCGCGTGCAAATTGCCGGGGACGACCTGTGCTAAAATTGTCCCTAAAACCAGTCGCGCTGTTTCTCCCACCCTCAAATCGTCCCGCTTCTATCCGAACGACGCGTACGCGTTTTGGCCCCCGGGGGCCAAATCGAACCTGTTGTGCTGTCGATTCAGCTGCGCTTTAATTTGCTGTTCCTCTAGCAACCTCCGGTTTTGCAAAAACTGATTGTAAGCTAACTGCTCCTGATACTGCCTCTGTTGCAAATTTAGCGGAGTGTATGGAATCGCTTGCCGCTGTTGCGTTTGGTACACGTTTTGGTCGATTCTTTGCTGTGCTTGCTGCTGGCGTAGTTGTTGTTGAGCGAAAATTTGCTGCGGCGTCAACAACTGCTGTTGTTGTATGGTAAAGGGTAAAAAATTTTGACTCGGTTGTTGTTGGAAGAAATTATGGAATTGACGGTTCGGTCGGAAGGTGGTCGCTTCTAATTGTCCCCCCACTAGTGGCACACGGGGCCTGGACACCTCTCTCGAGATGTCAAAGTTACGGGGTCGCTTCTGTAACAACCAGAAACATTGTTAGTTTCTTCAATGGGAAGGACAATAGCAGAAGCAGAACCACACGACCAGCAGCAGAAGCAGTTAGGATTAATTTGGAGGCCAGAACTTTGCTGTAATTTTCAGAGCACAACGCACGTCGCCCCACAGAACTTAACCCTGTCCTACCTGTGGGCTAACTCCTAGCATCTTCAGCGACGGCGGCACGTTGAGGTTCGACGGGATTTGGACGTGGCCGAAGTCGACGGTGAAGGCCTCACACCAGATGCCGAAGTGGCCGATATCGAACACGGTCAGGTCACCTGGCAGCGTTAAGACGACGGTTTTGTGGTCGTACCTGCGAAGAGGTACTTCTTTGCCATTTTCGTCCGGGACCCTTATACCTTGCGGCGACGGTTTCGCTCCTCGCCCCACCCAGAATTTCGCATCTGCAATTAAAAAAACAAAGTGCTCAAACCGGACAAACTTTATTATGCCACATTAATCGGTCTACAAAAAGTAGGACTGTGTTTGTTGTTGCTGAAAACTGGTCGCGGGTCCATTAACCTCGTAATATTAGCTTTGGTATTTTTATTGTTGCAACACGGCTGTTTTCGACACAATGGTCTCTAACACCGGCTTTTGTGGCGTGCAACGGTCGGCGAATTGCGGGTTTTAAGTTGGAAGTTGGCAACAATGGAACGATTAAAACTTGCTTAAGAGCACCCTGAAGTGCGCTTGGTGTTAACGTATTTCTGTAAATTGTGTTGATTTCGAAGCTATTGTTTGCACTTTGCCGATAAATACTCGACGGGAACGGAAAGCTCGGCGTCTCAAGTGTTGACTTGTTCGTTGCGACTGACTGGCAATGAGGTGGCGCCAGCGTCCAGCAGTCACGACTCGAGTTGTACCGACATGCTATTTAAAGACATCCGATGTAAACAATTGCTTTTCGTGAATGAACTCGAGGTCGTGTGGCCCCCTTAACAAGGAAGCAACACACGAACTCACTCCCGAAAAAAACGATAGGAAATGTCAGTAGGAGACCTTGCCTACACATCTTCACATCTTTATTTACATACAGTGCACAAATAAAAGATGCATTTATTAAGAAAAAACTGTTTACACGTTGCGACCTCGGAACGACCGCTCTTCCATTTTCAGAAATCGTTACGTAACACAGTTCCTCTCGAAATGCCACTAGCGTTCCTGCAAATTGTGTTATACGGTATCCGAGATTGTCTCTTCCGTAATTATTATGGATCGTCTTCGCGAAAAGCTTCCTCCCAGCCAATAAAATGCATTTGTGCACTCTACAAATCCGATCCCGAATTGCCCTCGTACGAGACTCTCGGAATTGTTTTCTAACATGTTTCGCCGTCAAGACCATTCACCATAAATCAGTGACTTTTTACCCGGAAAAGCACCAGAATTCAAAGTATCAACGGCGTCACGTACTCACAGCCATCAACTTCAATGGTCGCTATGTCAACGTAATTTATATCTTGCATGAGAGTGCGAAGGGGCTCGGGTAAATACTGCGCGCTTTTAACGGATAATCAGAAAAACGTAAAATCTCACCTGGGGCCTCTCCGTCGTACGATAAATTAGGGACGAGCAGAGTTTGCGCGTCCACGAGGACGATGGGGTCAGAGGAAATGCCGTGGACACCCTTCAAAGCGTCGATTTTCTGAGGGCGGGGGTAGTCGAAGTTGCGAGGGATTTTCACGTCGCCGAAGTTTACCTGAAACGCAACGAAAATATCAAGAAATAGAAAAAACGCACACTTTTGAAGTTATTTCCGGAGATGTATCTTTTTTGACGAAATTTGCTGTAGTTTCTTTAGCGTTTCCACACGAAAAAATTGAAACGTCTCGACGGACTGAAGGAGAAGGAGTGATTATAAAATTGCAATAAACATAATTTACGATTTTTTTCCATGATCGTAATTCGCACAGTAACAAAGCCTGTTGGTTCAGGTGCATGGCGAATATGCTAATGAGTTTATTTATGCCGTCGGCGGCATTATTTATGATCCTACGCGGAAAAGGAAATATTTCGAATTCCAGCAGTTGATGTGCAACGTAAATATTCGCTTTATGAGGGATAATTAGCATAGAGTTGCATAATTGTGGTTGGGTTAAGAGATGGCGCCAGGGTTCGTCACTCACGCCCTTAAGTATACCGAGATTGTTAAGTCGTCTTCACATAATCGCGATTTATAACGTGAGCAAGTCCGGCGGGAGGTCTTCACCTCGAGCCAAGTTTTTATGGTTTGAATGAAATCTTGTTTTCAGAGTTTATTATTTAACAAGTGATTTGGTCAATTTATCATTACGTGGCTACGTCCACCCTGGTGTAAATGTTGATAAACAAACAAAAAGTCGTTTCGTGTTTGCTTAGACAATGCTCGGTCACCCGTGCCACGATTGCGAAAACAATGATTTTATAAGATCGCGTTGGGAAATCTATTGTAAATATCGCAGATACACAAACGGTGTCTCCATTCATGGTTTCGTTAGTTCTCATTTGAATATTTGGTAATCCGTGAAATTTATTAATGAAATGTTGCAACCGGTGTCGGTTCTGGCCTGGATGTCATTGCCAATAATACAGCGGTTGGCGAATTCGCCAAAATCGTCACCCTTTCTAGCTCGTTCGTCCAAATCACGAAACGTTTAAAAATTGAAGGCCGTTTTTCTGTTCATTATGTAAATGAAATTCTATAGCATAATTATTAAAATCTCGGGAAAGAGATGAGATATGCATTATATTTAAATTGCTAATCCGTGTATTTAAATTTCGGCAAAAACGTTATTTTTTTCCAATGAAAATTTCACCAAGGTCGTTACCTCAAACTCCTCGCACCATACGTAGAAGATCTTGATGTTGTTAAGGGTCTTCCCTTCGGGCAAAGTCAGTGTGACACCTTCCTTTCTGTACTTTCGGATCACCTCGGGGCTCCCGTTTTCGTCCTTAAGACGGAAACCTGATCTATCGGCGGTTCTTCCCGTGCTGGCGTAGAAGTACGCAGCTGAAAGGAAAAAAAACACCTCGAGGTTTGTTCGAATTTTCACTTTTCGCTTCACTTTCTGAAGAAAGTGTATTACCTGGGCCTTGGCCGTCGTAAGTGAAATCTTTCAGGTATAAAGTTCGCCCGTCGACCGCGTATACTTCGCCTGAGACGCCGTGATGTAATTCGGAAAGTTTTCCGAGGAACTTGCCATAATATGGGGCGCCGTAAACTGCACCTGGAACAGATAACCCTATTTAAAATCGGACCCGATCGAATCAGTTTTCTCGATTTGAATCAAATAGAGAAACTTAGCAACAATTGGCAGGAAAGTGGAATCGTGGCCTTCTAGTTGCGTAATCGATTGTGTTGAGCATCTTTCATTATGTTGATGTAACGCCCACTCGACTAATATGCTAATTCTTGGAAGAAAGAAGGTAACGAGTCAATCCACTTTTGAGCTGGCAATTTTTAAATTGTCCATTGCGTGCAATTTTCCGCACTGAATCACCCAAGGGATGCGTATTAAGCGCGTCTACTTAATATTTTATGCTTTCACGTTCTCTCCACGATAATTGTTTTTTTATTTGTTAGTAGATTGGCAACACTTCATTCTAGATCACATCTAAATGTCAACTTCAATTCCGAACAGGATCAGAATTTCCCCAGAGTTCGATAAATAATTAATGGTCGTTGATGCTGTACCTTTTTTTTGGGGAGGGAGTTGTGCATCAAGGAAGCTAAGAAACTTTCATAAATTTTGTTTTTTTTTTGTCGACTGGCTTCTCTTATATCACACTAATGGCAATGGTTATATAATTGACGATCGAATGGAGATGACAAACGAAAAAATAATAATTTTACAATTGTTTAGGTGTGCAACTAGTGAAAGTGTGTTAGTAATCCTCGGCGCTTCTGGACTGAACTTTTAAAGTAGGTAAATATGTTTATGTTTTCTTTGTAAATAATACCATGCGAACGATGCCATTTCATCCGCCAGGTTTATAATTGCACATAATTGTTGTATGCAACGTTTTGCACCTGACAAGAATCTAGGTGAGTGAGCAGTTAGGCACCTGAAGCAACGACGGCATCCCTACTATAAATTTGTTCAGACGCAGGGGATCTGTCGTTAGAAAAAATAGAGGAAACTCGATAGAATGAAGAAGAGCTGGGGGTTTTTAAAATAATTTTTCTATAATTAACCGAAAAAAAAAAATTCCCGTTGCACCCTTTTTTCCGATAACATATTTGGTGGTGAATGTGGTATAGCTACAAGAACAAAAAAAACGGTACTGCATCAAAGAGAAAAAGACACGTTTGGGCCTTAATATACAAAATTTAACCATATGAAAAAATTAATTAATTAAAAAAAAAACGGCAAAAATAGGAGCGAAAATCGGCCGCCCGTAAAAGGAAGCGCGACGAAGAGTCAAGGTTGCAAATCTTCGAACTCGTTTCGCAATACACTTACCAGCAATCCAACAGATAATCACAAATGCAACAACGATGGGCCTCATGGTGGCCGTCGTCATGTCTGCTGCACGACTGAACTCACAAGCACTGGCTGAGCACCTTCGATGTCTTTCACTTAAATTTCATATGTTGGAAACGTGTACAAGAACTGGACAGTACAACTATTATGGACCCCTCTCCTTTTGCAATCTCATTTTATACATGTATTTCTCTCTTCGTTGGTTTTGTTGCATTAGAAACCACCCCGAGTAGAGGGGACGTTTCAGATGATTTATTGGCGTCGTTATGGAAAAAATTGTCCGTCATGGTTTTACGATTTTTGCGTTAATTAATCGAGAATGGGGACGAAAGTTTTGGCAGTTTTCGTCGTAAAGTTGCAGTTCGCCTCCGGGAGGTCTTATTTCGTTGTCTTCACAACTTTTCTAATCCGTTTAATATCGAACGAATTTGGAATTCCGTCCCTTATCGAAAAAGTTTCTAAAATAGCTCGAAGGTGTGCCATCGAAATTAGCGTGAAAGTAACATTTTTTTTTTAATATTGGATGTTTACATTATCGCTTTCGTTGTCCTTGAACCCGCACTCACTTTTCTGTGCACTCGAACTAACCTTTGACGCGAAAAGGGCGCTAATGCCATTTTTAATCCCAACAGGAAGCTTTGTTTGGTTGTGAGCGATAAATTTAATAAATTGAGGACTTCCGGAAGGTCAATTCGAAACAACAAAATCATAATTAGCAAGGCTGACATAATTGTTAGAGACTCCAGTAATAAAGAGAAAGATCTCAATTTTAAGGTTATAGAGTGAACGTTCCATCATCATCAGGAAGTGTACTTGTAAAACATTTTTTGAAACTACTCAAGTATGATGCTCGATTTGGGTCAATAATGCCGTCGAGAATTTGAATTTTTCTCATCAATAATACGAGCGTCCTAGAATTCGGTTGTAATTTATTGATGATAGGACGTTTTCGTTGCTTTCGAGTGATTATCACTTTTGACGATTTCGATTCATTGCCTTTGAAGGAATGCTTCAACATTAGTGGTCAATTATTGAACAAATGGAATTAATCGAGGCTGTGTTAACGGGATGAGATGACGTGTCCCGTTAAAGTGCCAACCTTGATTCGCAAGATCAAGAGTGGATGTTTACAAACTTCATAATCATATACTTACAGTCGGAGCGGAACAGTTTTTGACGCAGCAGCGAGAGGTTCAGAGCGAATAAATGAAGCGGAAGAGAAGTCAGAAGAAGAGGGCTTTATAGAGCTGGTTTTTATAGTTCTAAGCCGGGGGAATTGACCTCCGTTTTGTACCCTTTTTTTGACAGGGTGCGTTTCATGCTTGAGTGTACTAGAATTTGTACATAGAAAAATGTGGGGAAAAAAGTGAAACAAAGAAGAGTAGGCACTTTGAAGCTTGTAAACCCCGCCTTTAACGACGTCTTTTCACGGAGTCAAGATTTGATAAGTATCCCACAGTGTCGGTTACGAAATTGTCTCGTTTTCCGTTTCTGCTTTAATTTATCACGGAATCTCATTTGGCATTTAACAAATTAGACCAATTACGTAAGTGTTAAAGGTAAAAAGTGTCCATGAAACTTATAATTAGGGCGTATTCACGAAATTACCAAGCAATTAGTGTTGAGGTGAAGTAATTAGTAATAACTTTCATTTGTGGAAATTCACATCGTTTTTCGATTTGATTTTCGTGGGGAAGTTTTATCGTCGCATATTTTTTTCTTATTTTGACAATTCCAGTTCATAAAAGCTCCGCCATCACGTCGTCGAATGAAAAATCGCCTGCGCGCAGATTACGACGGAGATATTAATGATGGTTGAGCAGTTCTTAAGGGTAGAGTCGTAAAAGTCGTTAATTGCGGTCATCGAATGTGAATTTTTTCTCTCCATTGGCATTATCTTCTTCGGATACGACCGAACCAACTGAGCCATAAAAGTCATGCTTATTTTCCGGGTCTCTTTAGCAAGCTCCTTTCATGAAAATTTAATAACTATCGATTTTAAAATTTAATTCAAACATCCAGCCAGAGCAGTCGTCTCTCTAAGGATGGGAGTATTTTCGCAATATTAACGCCATATTTCAGCTGGGAGTCAAAACAGAACGCATTGAAATATTCGCAATTAGGAGATTGCGACGTCAAGTCACGCCATACGTACATTACCGTCCCGCCTGACAGCCTGTGCATAGGATCTGCGTTGTGCAACAATGCAAATCTGTATATTTGGCGGTATGTAACCGTTTCAAGGTCGTGGAGCTCGCTTCGCTCGCCACTTATCGCGGGGAGGAAGACGATTTTTCGCTGTTTTCATTCAGAGAACGCGACCTTAAGTGTTCGCGATCATCTATCGCTAAGTGGCGTTGTGTGGCGGGGACTTCAACTCTCACTTAATCATTAAGTAGGTGAACCAGTTGCGAACAAAAATGACTAGCATCATTGTTGCGAAATCGCGCGTTCGCGTACACTTTTCAATAGTAATTGTATTTGGCTGCTATCTGCGGGAGCCATCATCCGGTTAATCGGGAAAATCTAATTTGACAAGACAAATGTCAAATTACATCTCACTACTGCGCTTTCTACCGTTCGGCGATATAAACGTCAGGCGTGTCAAGGTCGAGCGCATGATCTGCCGTTATCTGCCATCGCCGAATCGCTGCAGATAATAATAATCATTACGAAAGGGTAAAACGATGGATTTGTAATTTTATGGGCGTTACTAGTTATTAGTTTCGTGTTTATCTATAATTCCATCGGTGCATGTGCTATTTAATTTTCGTTCTGATGAAATTTTACTTATCCGAACATATTTAATGAAATAATTTAATTTGTGCATTGAGAGTAAACCAACATTTACAAACGCTTTGTGTTTGCACGGTTTAGTTATAATGGACACAATCTATTCTGTGGGATGTGTGTACAATACATAAATTTGATTCGAGTTTGTTGGATCGCTTCGGGATTAATGTTGAGGAATTTACTTCAAAGTCTGCTTTTAATGGTTCGCAACTTGGTAAATTTCCAATTTTCATTTAGAGAAATCGCCGTATTTACTTGATGATTTTCAAGGTCATCATGGCCGACGACCATTAATGAAATGTCGTGTCCCGTGAAGAAGAAAACACTAATTAGATTTTTATTAGAAACGCAATTCTTGCGTTAAAAGTTCCAGTTGAAACCAACGAGGAGTACAATATCGGTGAAAATTTATTGTTCGGGTCTACCATTCTATAATTGCTTGCAAATTTATGTCAGGTGTAAATGTTTGCAGGCCATAAATAGTATGAACAAATTCGCACTGCAGCTGACATTATTCGGCAGAAAAAAGTAGAATGATCGCTGTTCCATCTCTGTGTTTGAATACTCCTCCATTTTCATCTCATTATTATTTCATCCTCCGTTCGGTCTGTGACAGAAACTTTCTGATTTTTGTGTTTTTTCGATACATACATATTTTGTGGTGCTCCTTCAAGCTTAGTGGTGAAAGATTACCAGATTTTTTGTTTCTCATCAGTCAAAAATCTCACTGTGCCAAATAAATCTTGAGTTCCTATCTGCTCAGTCCTTTTATTGTCTGAACTGTTGTTTGTTAAATTTAATGCTATTGTTAAAAAATTTGTAGTAATTTTCACTGAACTTTTCTTGTTTTGAATTACAATCAATATCATATGTATATCGGACAGTATTTTTCAGTAAAAATAAAAAATTGGTCGAAAGTTTCGACAGAACTTCACTCGCTCCTGAAATACAATGATTTTTTTTTTGAGTCACCCTATGTACTCAAATTCAAAAAATATTAACGGAATGATAAATCACAAGTGCAGACTCATCATACTTTGCACATTTAAGATAGGATTTATTCAGCAAAATGTTGAGGTGACGTCACCAATTTTTTAGCGAGGGATGAACAAATACATTGTGACTAAAAATTTACCATGGCTATGATAACTTTAAAACATCTCCAAGATTTCAAAGCATTCGGTTTTGTAGTTCCTGATTAAATTAGTAAAATAAATTCACGCATTCATTAATTTTTTTGAGTCACCTTGTATTTGCAAATCCAAAAAATATGAGTGGAATGATAAATCACAAGTACAAACTCATCATATTTTGTACATTTTAGATAAGATTTATTGGTCAAACTTTTGAGCTGACGTCATCAATTTTTTGGAGGGGATAAGTAAATATATTTTGATTAATAATTTATTATGCCTATCATAACTATAAACCATCTGCAAGATTTCAAAGCATTCGGTTTAGCGGAATCAAAATTAAATTGCAAAATGTTGTTTCATAATTCGGAGTCATAAACTACATGTGTAGGACTATGTTATTTTATACAATTTAAGACCCATTTACTATGTACAATTTTGAAGTGACGTCATCGCATTAGTGGTGGGGATGATTAGACAAATTTTGGTTAGCGTTTTACCATCTACATGATATTACTAATATAAGTACAAAATTTCACAACAATCGGTCCAGTACCTTCGGAGATTATCTGTCTAATAAAAATCCGGGACGGCAGACAGACGGACAGACAGGCGTAAACGGGAGACCTATTTCTTCGTCCTCTAGGGGTCATGAAAGATCGAGAAAACGTAAAAGTAGAGAGTCGGCTGACGGACTCGATTACAATACTTCCTTTGCTTACGCTCGGGAAGTAAAAAAGATACGAAATTTTTTAAATCTGTAAATTTAGTAGTGTAATATAACGTTAATCAGACGGACATTTTAATTCACCTTCTTTAAACAAGACATTAGCAACATTGCGTTTAGAAACATATTTTTTCAATTTAATGATATCTTGAGGTGACGTCATCAGTTTTTACTTCCTGAGCGTAAGCAAAGGAAGTATTGTAATCGAGTCCGTCGGCAGACTCTCTACTTTTACGTTTTCTCGATCTTTCATGACCCCTAGAAGACGAAGAAATAGATCTCCCATTTCCGTCTGTCTGTCCGTCTGTACGTCTGTCTGTCTGTCTGCCGTCCCGGATTTTTATTAGAGAGATAATCTCCGAAAGTACTGGACCGATTGTTGTGAAATTTTGTAGTTATATTAGGAATATCATGTAGATGGCAAAACGCTAACCAAAATTTGTCTAATCATCTCCACCACTAATGCGATGACGTCACTTCAAAA